TTAGCAGAATTTTAGATGAGGGCCAAACCTCTTAGGCGTTTTAATACTAAAATGTATACAGGTACCTCTCAATCCTCAATTACATTTGCCTTATTTTAGTTCGACATAGATATATTACAGTTTGTAAATAGAGGTTATGTTCCAATAGAAGAGAATATCTGCAGCTCAGGATTGAACTATGTAGTCCTTGATACTCTCTGAACATGGTGGTTTGCTTGCAGACATTTGATTACCAACCAAGTAACATCAATGCTAGCAAGTGTGGAGTTTGTTTCATGTTTACATACAGTAGCTTGGAAGTTATTGTATATAAACAGGAGCAAATCCCACATTCCCCAGCACTGATAAGGTTACCTAGTCAGGCATTGAAACATCTACAAAGAAACAACCAATGGCTCCACAATTATCTTTCAGGGAACACCAAGGACTCCACAATTATTTTTTTCAGGGAACACAAAGGCTCCACAATTATCTTTCATTAATATTGTCACTGCATGTTGCTTTGCAAATTGTTTTTTACAGGACGAGTAGCAGAATTCTTCTTGCTCCCCTTGTCATATACAGTATTTAGTGCCATAAGATTAAATCATGGCATCTGTTCACATGATCCCCCAAACATCTATTTCTCTGAAGAATTCCATTGCTCAGCTTCTCATATGTGCATTAAGCCAGCTTTCTACATTTGTCTGCGTTTTATGTTTTGTTTTCAACCTCTGTATCATATTACATTATATGAACATAACAAGAAATACCAAAATTTGGATTTATTTTCTTCTCCTTTTGATATTTTTTACTAAAGACTTTTACACCTCAATAATGGGACACTTCATATATTTTGTTTTTATAGCTGAGAAACTTCAACTAATTGACGAACAGTTTGCAGGCATGTATCCTCAACGTCACTTATCTGAGTCTTTTCATGTAAAACTTGCTGAATATAAAAGAGAAATAGAACAGCAGCTGCAAGCAGAAATGTCGCAAAAGGTAATGACAGCTGGAAAGGCGAAAAGGAATAGTTACAGTTATATTGTAATTTCATATATTCATATTTATGCCTATGTTGTTTTATGTTTGTATCCTTGTTTTTATGTCTGGCTTTTCTTTAACAAAATAAAACCCAAGGTAAAAAATATTTGTTGAATTTAATATTATTATTGTGTTATAGGTAAAAGGAGTTTGTCTATTATAAGAGATAAAACTTTCTCCTATTTAGAGTATGTGTGGTAAATAATATTTTGAATGATTGTTAAAATAAAAAGCACAGATAGGCAGCTAATTGGATTATGTTCTATACTATCAACTATAACTGAGAGGTTCTTGGAAAAACTACAATTGGATCTCCAAATATTTTCTTCCCCCACAGGAGACAATTTGAAATAGGGATGTAAGGCATCAAGAGGAGGTATTAACAGATTCCTCTGCAATATATTGGTGCTTTTCCTGTTCCCTGCTTGTTGGAAAAGTAAAAATATGTTCTGAATATATGTATTTTGAAATCAAATTGTATATATTCTTAATAACATGACCCACAAATACTGGTTGTATATAGTGTAACCCAGTGATGTTCAAATCCCTGAACTGTGTTGTTTTTATCCTGTGACTGTCTATTCCAGGGCTCTCCAACCTTTTGGATCTCAGGGACCACCAAACTCAGACTTTTAAATCCTGAGGACCACTAATACCATTTTTTAAAAAAAGATAATATATTTAATATAAAAAGTTTATTTGTTATATTAAATATAAATTTAATATTAAAAATTAATTTTTTAATATAAAAATATGTAAATATAAACAGAAGAAAAGCAGAGCCATCTCAATATTTCCCCCAAGTCAGAGGAAACCTCTCCCTCCTTTGCCAGATGTGGCTGCCTGGAGTTGGGGGAGGGAAAGAAGGCTGGGATGGAAGCGCCGACAAAGATGGGCTCCTAATAACCAGGCAACATCCTTCGGTCTCCACATAAGAAGAGGATTCCCTGAGGCTAAGCTCCAGGTTTCTCCCGCAGCTTCCAAGCAGAGAAGAGTCCCTCCCTGTGTGGAAGCTTAAGGGGGTGTGTGTTGAGTCCAGAAAAGCTCAAGCTCTTTCCTGCACAAGCAGGCTGGTTATTAGGAGCCCGTCTTCCTCTGTGTTCTTTTGGTCTGTGCATTTGGTCTCCCCCACCACCACCCCATGCCAAAGGAAAGCCAACCGGGCTTCTCCTACCCTTCTACCTGCTCCCTTCCCCCCACTCAATCTTACTTCGGGACAGAGGAGGGCACGCTGGAAAGGTGTGTTGGCTTTTCCAACATGCCTTTCTCTGGCGCTCACCCACAATTCTTCGCATTCCTCCAGGCCTGGCTTGCTGAGGGGGGAGAGCATCCCTGACGTCTCTGCTGCGACCCCCACCCCAGGAAAAGAAAGTGAGCAGAAACATAGCTCACGCTGGGGCGAAAGAGCAGAGATCGCAAGGCACAGGCAACAGAAAGCGGCGTTTTTCGAAGGTGGCAGCTTCTGTCTTCTCTTGCCTGTGCTTTCCTCGGTCTCGGTTCTTTCGCCCCAGCGAGAGCTATGTTTCTGCTCGCTTTTCCTGGGCAGCGATGGCTGGGGCCATGGGGGGGGGGAGCAGAGCAGAGTGCCGAGAGAGACAAGGAAATTGATGACGACAATGGCCCATTCCAAACCTCTGAACTGGATGGTGAGTGCAAACTTGCTCACTCCACCTGCTCCCACCACCACCAGCCGGTGCTTTTCCTGCCCCGGGCCGTCCCTACAGCCCGTGGCCATTGAGGAAGAGCCCAGGCCAGGAGAGGCGAGCTGGAAGGTGCAGGAATGCCACACAAATGCAAGTAGCGTGGCGCTCCTGCACCTTCCGGCCATCTCCATCGGCGCTTCAGCCCACCTGTGCCGCCAGCCTCTTGCTCCTGGCCGGCAAGAGCTGCACTGCTTTTTGCAGGTTTGCACTCGGCTGAAGGGTTGGAGCCAGTGGGTGGGCGGGCCATAATCCGGGCATAGCCTGGATTAATTGCTTTGGGGGGACATTTTTCTGCGGCTCACCAAAATTTTCTCATGGACCATCAGTGGGCCGCAGCCCACCGGTTGGCGACCACTGGTCTATTCCATAGCAGTGGCACTTAGACACTGCTACACAGTGCTTTACAGCCCTCTCTAAGCAGTCTACAGAATCAGCACATTGCCCCCAGCAATCTGGGTCTTCATTTTACCAATCTTGGAAGGATGGAAGGCTGAATCAATCTTGAGCTGGTCAGGATCAAATTCCTGGCTGTGGGTAGAGTTTGCCTGCAATACTACTGTTAGGGATAACATTTTTTACCCTAACTGTTTTGGGTAAAGATAATAAAATGATGAATCATGGTTTGTCAGATAAAGTGTATGTGACTTTAAGCTAAAGGAATGTAATTAAGGGTGCAGCTGTAAAAGTACTATATAAGCAGCAAGGCACTCTCTGGCTTACTGATCCCTAATTACTGGCTGGCTTATTGAAGACTGCATTCTTGCTGGATCGGGGAGGAGAAGAAGTGTTGGATTACTTTGAAGATATTTCTCAACGGAGAGAAGATAAGTTTTGGACAGATTTATTATATGTGTACTGACACTGGCTATTCGACACGGACTTTGCAATTAGAGTATCCTCGACAAGACTTGACTGAATTTGGTATATGACTAATGGACTGTTTATAATGACTATGCTATAATTCTTAAATGGAGCTGCACGTTCTGTTTAGTTTGTTTTCCTTAACACCTGTTGGGGAATCCAGGCTTAACAACTACTATACATTCTAATCACTTTGCCATTCCATACTCTTCTTTCCCAATACCTGAAATGTTATAGATTGCAGAGTTGAAGAAATACGTCCATTCTTGAGTATCAATGAAGCATAATACTTTAAGGTTCCAACAGTATTCCCTGAACATCTGCATTTTAAGATAAATGGTGTTGTAAATTCTAGGTGAATGCTGCTATATCAAATTTCCCTTAAAAGTTGAAAATATACCATATGAATAAATGTTAATGTCATTAATGAATTTAAATTATGAGATGAACTTGAAGCACAGGAAAAGGTAGTATAATTTCTGGCCGGCATATCTATTTTCAGTGTTTTCAATTTCTGTTTTATAAATGTTACAGTTACAACACTTCAAGGATGTTGAAATTGCCAAAATCAAAATGGATGAAAGGGCAAAATCCCAGAAAGAAATTTCAGAACTTCGGAAAGAGTTTCAAAGAGATCACCAGGCCAAGTCAGAGGCTCTGACCTCTCGAGAAAGAAATGCTATTGAGCGACTTCATAAACAGCAAGAGGTAATTTTTTAAAAAGTGAACCTACATAGTTACTAATCCCTTGAAATTTTCTGCAATGAAAGAGTTTGCTGAATTAGCCAATATTAGTTTTTTCAGAAAGTTTCTGAAAGTAATCATATATATTTTGCCTCGGTTTCTGATATTACATACAGTTACTAATGCATTAGATACTCATAATAAAAATGGGATTTTACAGAAGATTTCAGTGGGGTGACATGTCACATTGTGGTTTATTATGTGGAATGCTACTAATGTTCAGTTTGTATTGAGAAAAAATAAAATATATTGATTTATTCAGCTAAGGGCCTATATTTGACAAACAGTTGTGAAAGAAATGGGAAATGTATTTTGTTTTGGGCTTGCAAAAAAACATCCAGTCTGGATTGTTTCATCAAGATGCTATGCATTGACTGCATTATAACAGAATAAAACTTGAATCACTTGAAGTATTTCCTGCTTCATTGAGGGGAAAACATGAAATATTTCAAACATTTACGACAAATTTTTCATTTAGTGTTCCACAGAACCTAGAGTGCTTTGAGAATTTGATGGGTTTTATGAAATACTAAACACAAAAAGAGAAAAAAAATCCAGCCAATTTAACTTAAATCCAGCCAATTTTCTATCATCATTTTACCTCATGGTCAAAGTTTGTACGATTTTTTTTTTAAAGCTTACTGGTTCTATGGCTTAAAACTTTGAAAACGTTTTGAAATGAGAACAAGTCTCTTGGTCCAATTTCACCATAGGATCACAAGAATAGATAGAACATAGTATGAAATGCTAACCTCTCAGAATTTGGGAAATTGTCAGGTCCACATCATGTCCTGCCATTTTGTTGGAGGGGAGGGAGGAAGGTTGGCTGGCTGGCATTTTTCACATACTTTCGCTTTTGCTATAACCATTTGGGAATTAGGGAGGGGGATTGTCTTCTGAGTCAGAGCAGACTCCCTCCCAGCCAGTTCTAGCCTGGTTCCAAGGCCGTCGTGCCCTGAGAGTGATCTGTTATCTGTCTAGCACCTCAGCCTTCTCAAAATATTCTTGCGGCATCACATTGGCTGCTGGTGGACCAAGGGTTGGGTTTGGGGAATGGAAGAATTGCTTTGTGCGGGACCTTCAGATTCCACCTGACTTTAATGCAACCACTTTCTCTCATAAAAAGTTCTTTTGATTCAACTCAATGGAGTGAAGTGTTTTGCTTTTCTGAAGGACCAGCTGGGGCAGGTGCAAGCATTTGTTTCATCTTTTTCCCACGCTTCCTTGAATTCAAACAGGAGTATATCCTTTCTTTGTCTTATAGGTTGATTGAAAAAGATAAAGAAAGATAAAGAAATTACAGAATTGTCTTCTCTCTCCCTCTCTCTTTCTAGTTACAACAGGGATGGCTTATTCTGAACAGTCATGCAGTGTCACAGCACTGGAGAATAATCAATTCTAGAATGAATCTTTTACAATGAGGAGTAGTATTCCTTAAAATGCCTGCTAGATCCCCCTTCCCAGATCACCTGACTAAGCCTAAGTCCAGCCCATTTAGAGAGGAGAATTGCAAAACAACTTCACTGTTCATGACATTGTGAAATGTGTTTCAAACTACTTGAAATATCTGTTTCAAACTTAAAATACTTTCTTTGTCCCTAGTGACAGAGAGTTTTGTTTTGTTTTTTGTTATGTGGTCTGGAGTTCATTACTTCATGCTCATTGATATGTCCTCATACTTGTTATTTCACCTAAGCTGCAGTTTCCATATCTTCCTGTGCCAAGTAATTAGTTTATCAATAAATCGGTGAAGGAAGTAGAAACTTACAGAAGTTGGTATTACAAGCACACCCTGTTTTTTTCAAATTCTTGTTTTTGAGGGATATATCACCCAAACTGTTTTTCCTAACAGATTGATGCGAAGGAAATTTACTTGCAAAGACAAACCTTACTAAAAGATATTGAAACAGTAAGAAGCCGAGAGGAAGAACTGAGGAAGAGAATAGAAGCTTTTGAAATGTGAGTTTTTAAAAATAATTAAGGGAAATGCTTCTTTTGTGAAGCCATTCCTATGTTAATTTTCTAAATGTCACACTTTATAGATAAAAATGATTCATTTCATTAGGAAACAATCAAAAGATCCTGGAAAGGCTGTTGAGGAACTATTGTATGCTATTGTATATACCTTCCTCCCTAAGGAATTTTTTTCTGGGTTATATGTATTTAACATGTTTAAATCCACATTTTAAACTGCATAAAATGGAGAAGATGTTAAAGAAGTGGTATATATTGGGAAATGCAGTAAATCAAGAAATCAATGTGTGAGAGAACAATAGTGTAATTGATATAATGAATATAATTTGGGCAAACTCCAGGAGAAGGTGACAGCGTTCATGGGTTGCGACGAGTCAGACAGGACTTAACGACTGAACAATAACAAAAACTATTGAAACAGTGTTAAATACTGCATAAATTTTGGTTATTCCAGAACATATTAGGAAACAACAAATTCTCTGTAGTTTCCCCAAATGCTTTTAGAAAGGCTTGGATCCAGCATGTTTATTACCTTCTTGTTAGTCAAAGGATACTTTTAAGTTGAAATAATAAACAAATGAAATTATATCACTATAAATATTACATCTTTAGAAGGATAGTCATTCCCTGTTTACTGTATGTTCCTGCTATTTTATGTATTGAGTCATACATTAGAAACATGTTTTTCATGAAGTGTTCAAACAAATGCCAACAGCAATTCATCCAATATTATTTTGCATCCATATATTTATGCTTTGAAGAATGTCATGCTTTAACTTTACATTTAAATCAATTTAGGGTTAAACTGATTTTATTGTAGGAAGCCAGCAGGAAGTTGCCTTGTCTAACACGCAAGATTGGTTAACAGTCAGGACTGCAGAGATTGCCATTCCTAAACAATGCAGTTGCACATTAGGATTTTGTAGCCCTTAGTAATGAAAATTCTGGTTCTAATAGCTCTCAAGTTGTTGAGGACTATAATTTTTCTATCCAGCTTTAAAGTCCAATGTTTGCTTCAATAGAGTATGGTTTGCACATTTTTGATCTTTATAGGTATAGACATATTACTTGCATTTAAATATCTTTTCCAATATCTTTCATGGTTGCTCTACCAAGTGTTAGTTTGTGGCATATTTCTTGACTGCTTGTTCAATCTACTGTTGGTGGATTCTAAAAGAGAAAAATTATTCATCACTCCAGTATCTTCATTGCCAATTCTAAGTCAGATTGTTCTATTTATTGTCTTAGTTTTCTCATCTTTATGTTTAATTTTTAATCTAATCCAATATCTGGTAAGTGAACACATTCAAGTTAAACTAATTCATATTCAGTTTTTGATACCTATGAATGTTGGGCAGCCTGCTTGAAGCAATAAATTATACCAATTGTCATTTGGATTATTGCCCAAATTGGCTTTTGATGTAAAGGCAGGAATTTGCTTGATGAGTCTTAATAAATATCATAAATGTTTCTTTAAGAGAATATTTATTTTTTTGGGGGGGATTTTTTTGATAGGAGGGGTAATGATATTGTTTTCCCAAACAGCAATGAAAGAATTGGAAATGATAGTTAGAACTATGCCTTCTAATGCCATATTGACACAACAGAGAAGACTGGTGGAAGTGGTTGAACCAAAAAAATGTGTCCGCTTCCTGTGAGCACACTCATTTCTCATGTTTACCAGACATTTTTTTCTGTTTTCCTAGAGCTCAAAAGCTTCAAGAATCAAAGAATAAAACTGTTGAGGATTCACTTCATCGGCGGGAGAATAATGTGAAGAACATTGAGGAGACATATGACCAGAAGTTGAAGAATGAGCTGTTAAAGTAATATATTTGCCTGTGGTCTGTAGAGAAAGTTTAAACATGTATACAAGTAATCCTTGCTTAATGACCATTTGTTTAGCAACTCTTCAAAGTTATGTTGATACTGAGCAAATGGCACTTACAATCAGTCCCTAAAGTTATGGGAGTTGCAGTGACTTTGAGGTCACATGATCAAAATTTGGCTGTTGGCAGCCCACCCACATTTATGAACGCAGAGTGTATTTCAACTCTTTCCACCTACCCGTCCCCCCTCATCTCTGCCCTTTTGGATGCCCTGTACTACACTGATCTTACTGCCCTGCCAATATGTCAACCTCCCTGTCACCCCCATTGCCCCCAGCTGAGATTTTCAATTATCTTCCTTCTGCTGTTGATGAGGCATGCCAGGTGTGACTCTTCACAAGGCACAAAGGTCCAGACCAGGTGTACCTCAGCAGTGGGAGGAATAAGATGGTAAAGATTCAGCCAGAGTGGCAGGAGAAGCAGACTGTATGGTGGGGTTCAGACAGACGGGGTCGGCAGAGGGCAGAACAATAGGGATGGTAGAGTTCAAGATGGCCAGAAGGTCAGACATGGGGACGGAAATAGGCTGGTGGGGGGAGTTGAAGCAGAGATGAGTATGGCAGAGCAGGAGAATCAGGAGATGCTCACCTAACGACAGTGCAGTCCTGCCTAATGACCACAACTTAACTTCTTCAGGAACTTCAGAACTACCAAAACTGCAGTTGCTAAGCAATGCAGTCGTGTGATATTTGCCTGCTAGCCGCATAATTTAGTAATGGAAATTTCAGTCCCAATTACAAAGTTGAGTAAGTAGTATCTGTATAGAAGAACATTCCTGCTCATTAAGAGGACTGCCTTTATAGAGAACAAGTTACCACATCAAGAATTGAAAAATTGTTGGATTATATTTATATGTTATGAAAATATCTGCCAGAGGGAGGTGGAAGAGGAAGGGTAAGTAGGGTTTTTGGTATTTTTGACAGGGGTCATATATTTTGTGCTGCTTGCTCAGACTGTAGTTTAGAAGGCCATAGATTTTAATTTGTTAATAGATTTTTCAAAAGCTTAAACCCATAATGAAACTTGTTGCCTTATTTACCTGCTGATGCTACGATTAAAAGAATATGCTGCTGTGGCAAATATACAGACATGCTGATTCTTTTCTCCATATTCAGTTTGATGCAAAAAACCCAAAATACAATTCTAGGCATATTTATGAAGAATTAAACTTCATTGAGTTTTGAGGACAATGCATTTTTATTTCAATAAACATTTCAATAAATAAATAATAATTGAAATTTAAAGCAAAGAAATAAAAGAAATAAAAAGGCATAAATATAGTATCAGAATATATAACTTGCTTGAAGTCTAGATTTGAAACAGAATCTAACACTTAAATCTGGATGATATGAATTTGTTTAAAAAGCAATTGTTTAGAAGTAGAAGCCACAAATAAAGCTGACAATGCTGACTCGGTCACTCAGAGTTTTGATGATGCTTCTCTTTTGCTGTGAGTGATGGTTGTAACTTTTATGTAGGTAGTGATACATGTATGTAGGTTTTTGGTTTACTGTATGCCCAAGTTGATTTTCTTTTCAAAATGTATTCATCCTAACATTCACTTTATAATAGAAAAGAAGATTGGCAAATTTGCATTCTTCAACATTGTTTTCTTTTGGATATAAAAATTAGTAAGTAAGAACTAGAACAGGCAATAAACAGGAGCCAAGATTGACTCAAATGCACCCTAAAGTTAGCTTTAGCATCACGTTAAGTCTTTAATCAGTTGCCAGCATGTTATTTTATTTCTAGTTATCAACTTGAATTAAAAGAAGAATACATAACCAGGACAAAAAAGTTTGCTGAA